AAGGCCAGGGCCGCAGGTGAGCTAGGTCAGGGGACTCTCAGGCCCTGCCATGGAATCATTTCCAGCTATCTAGGAAGCACAGCTGAAGTCAGCTGTTGGAAGGAGAGCTCTGACAGAGGCTTCGACCTTTCAGAATTTCCAAAATATTGTCAATGTCCACAGCTGTTCCTGCAGGTGGTTTTAAAAATTAGAGCCCTGGGGCGTGTGGATGGAGGCTGACTTCCCACGTCGGGACTGCAAGAGCCTGGCTGACGTTGTCTGGGGTTGGCAGCTGTGGCTCAGCAGCACTCCCTACCTGCCTGCTCAGTGACCCACAGAGCAGCACACCGCTCCCTGGGCACAGGGATGGACAGGGCTGGTGCAAGGAAGATGTCCTAGGCCAGGCAACTGCAGCTGGAGAACAAAGCAGAAGGCTGTCGGGGAAAGGCAGACAGCGCCTGAAGGATCACGGCTGTCCTCGCAGCTGGCGAGGGGTCCTGTGGGTGGGTGTGTGGCTGGGAAGGCCCCGTGGTTGCAGGTGCAGCTCAGGGACACGCCCACCAGGAGGGATCACAAGCATCGGTGTAGGTCAGGTCGGTCAGCCTCTGGAGGGCGGCAGGGCAGGGGAGTGAGGTCTGGGGGAGGAAAGGCCATGGCCACAACCAGCAAGGCCAGCCACATCTTTCTCCTCCACTCCCTGGCACCCACAGTGCAAATCGCAGAAGTTATCAGGCCGATGCTGTTTGGACAGCCATGTGCCAGCCCCTGCAGGAAGCACAGGAGGAATCCGTGGCTGCTGGAGAAGCCCGGTTCATCAAGGTGTGAGTAGAGGAGAGCCCCGGAAGGAGGCACATGACGCCTAGCCTTCAGGAAGGACCCCTGGTGGTCCTACAGAGTCCACCATCACTCCTGAAATACCCATGCCTCCAGCCTGTCTCCAAAAGCTGCTACAAAAGAACTTTTAGGTGTCATTGCTAGGAATGTACAATAGCACAGCAGCTACTATGGAAGACAGTGCAGTAGTGCCTCAAGACAGGACGCATCCCACAGTCCAGCCACTCCACTTCTGGGGGCGGATGGCAGAGCTTTCAAGAGCCACCAGAACACACCTGTGTCCACGGCAGCATCCTTCACTATAGCCAAGGGGTCCACTGACCGGTCAGTGGACCAGCACAATATGGTATACAGACCACAATGGAATATTACTCAGCCTTGAAAAAGAAATTCTGACACATGCTACAACATGGATGACCTGTGAAGACACTATGCTAAGTGACACAGGCCAGTCACAAAAAGACAAAAACTATGAATCCACTTACATGAGGTACCCAGAGTAGTCAAAATCAGAAGGCTCCCAGGGGCTGACAGATGAAGAGAAGGGCTACTTAGTAGTTAATGTAGTTTTGGAAGATGAAAAGTTTGAAATTGGTTGTACACAATTGTGAATAGGCTTGATACCACTGAGCCAGATAATCAAAAATGATTAAGAGGATAAACATTAATCCACAATTTTTTTAAAAAATATTTATTTTCATTGCAAAGTTAGATATATAGAGAGAAGGAGAGACAGAGATGAAGATCTTCTGTCTGATGTTTTACTCCCCAAGGGACCACAACAGCTGGAGCTGCACCGATCTGAAGCCAGGAGCCAGGAGCTTCTTCCGGATCTCCCACACGGGTGCAGGGTCCCAAGGCCTTGGGCCATCCTCGATTTCTTGCCCAGGCCACAAACTGGATGGGAAGTGAGGCTGCCAGGATTAGATCCTGTGCCCAAATGGGATCCCGGCATGTTCAAGACAGCTGCTAGGCCACCGCACTGGGCCCAATCCACAATTTTGTTAAAAGTTCACACTTACGGCCCTGGCATGGTAGCTTAGTGGCTAAAGTCCTCATTTTGCATTCATCAGGATCCCATATGGGTGCTAATTTGTGGCCCAGCGGCTCCACTTCTCTTCTAGCTCTCTGCTTGTGGTCTGGGAAAGCAGCAAAGGACAACCCAGAACATTGGGACCCTGCATTAGTATGGGAGACCCAGAAGAAGCTCCTGGTTCTGGCTCCGAATTGGTTCAGCTCTGGCCATTGTGGCCACTTAGGGAATGAACCAGTGGACAGAAGATCTTTCTATATCTCCTTCTCTGTGTATATCTGCTTTTCCAATAAAAAAAATTAAATAACTTTAAAAAATCAGTTTCTATAAAAAAGTTCACATTTACAAAAAAGCAAAACAAAGTAAAAACATCAGTACTAGATGGCCTTCTGTAAGTGCTTTCAGGGACATGTCATGTATGTAACGCCTCTTTTCACCGCTCTTTTACCATAAATACAGGTCTCAAATGAAACTTCACGTGTTCCAAATCAAGACCCTCCCTCCCATGTCTCTAGATTTTAAGCCAAATCCTCGTGGCTTCCTTGATTCTCTGTTCCTCTTTCTCCCCCTCCCAGCTCTCAGTTGGGCCTCTTGCCACCTCCCTGGTGCCCCTCGGGGCCCATGGACCCTCAGGCTTCCCCTGGTCCTTTCCTCCAGGCTCCCCATCAGCCTCTCCTGCTGCTCTTTCCACTTATTCTCCCTGTTGTCTCTAGAAGGACCTTCAAACACACAAACACTGCTCCCATGCTCTGTAATTCAATGACAGCAAGCCTTTGCCAGGAGCCTTCAGTTTAGATTGCCTGCTATCCTCCAAAGGCGGTCTGCAAGGCCCTGAAGGGAATGACCCCGACAACAAGGGCCTCAAGCTCATCTCACCTCCTGCTGCCATCCCTCCTGCCCCAGGACCTTTGTATAAGTTCTCCTCTTTCCCCTCTCCCTGCACCCCATTCTCTTCATCCCCTGGACTGGCAATCGTTATGTCTACCTCTGACCTCTCAAGCGCCATGTGCTGTATGCCCCTATATCCTTCCTTCACAGTGACGACCTAGTGCTGTGTAGTGGTCAGTTGTCTCCTGTGTGGGCCGCAAGCTTCATTAGGGAAGGTGGTCTATGCCTGTTATAGATGCTCAGCCTGGCAAAGGTTTGGGCCAAATTAACTAACAGGACTAGTCCAATTTATGTGTTTAGAATAAAAAATGGATGCCCCTAAGAACTGGTCAGCACTGCGTCATCTTCCTTCCCGGATTCATAGAGTTCTCCAGAACACTGTCTCCGATATGAAGCAACCCTGGCAGGCAGACCATTTACCACCTTCTTATCGTCCTCTCCTTATTTGAGCATGACTATGTACACACAGGACCAGAGCCAAACAGCTGTCGTCCTTCCAGCATTTCCCCTGTGATGGAGCAACTACAAGATGCTCCTACATTTTTCTATTTAGAAAAAAAAAAACAAAAAAAAACCACACCTACCGCTGGCCTGCCTGGGTTCAAATCTCAGCTTTCCCATTTTGCAGCTGTTCACCTGGCCTCCGTGTCTCAGCTCCTCCATCCGGAAGACGGGGTGGGTAACGCCCAGGCAGCTGAGACCTCGGCATGTCAACACCCAGGAGGTGCTCAGCATCCAGTGTGTAAGAAGGACTCAGGATCTGTCAGCCCCGGCCAGCACCAATGTCCTGCAGCGCAAGGCCTGGACACCTGCTCCTCTCCAGCAGGAGAGCAGGGTAGGTCGGGAGTCCAGGTCCTTCCTAGGGCTTGCACTCAGCACGTAGGCTCTTTTCAAACCTTGCTGGGATACCGGCACAGCTAAACCTTGATACACTAAGCAGCAGCTCCGTGGCAAGGATGCTGCCTTCGTGACGCTCCCATCTGAACAAACCTGGGTAGGTAACAGATATTTTTTGAAAGGAATACAAGTGAATAGTCAAAAAACCAAAAAGCCGTGTCAGCTAGTTGGTGTGTGCACACCAACGGCCACGGCGCTTTCGTCAGCTCTTACTGCCTCAGCACCAACACGGGTGAAACTGCCTCCTACTGACTGTTAACTAGGGTTCTGCATCCCTTCCACATGGTGCAGGCATACTCCTAAGGATTCATTAGTAACAAGTCAACAGACCTCTCAAAATCATCACAAGGCATCGCCCAGCTGAGAAGGCTCTCAAAAACTACACTTCAAAATGTTAAGATATGAATGAAACTAGGTTATAATTTCATTAGCACAAAGACACCAAAGTGAACTTTTTCATGATCTTTCCTTGTAAAGAACAAAATGCTTTTCAAAAACCACTGGGCTGCAGTTACCAACACCTATCCTTCAAGCATTTCCACTGCAGTGGAGCAAGCTCGCTTATAATTATGCATTCGAGTTAGAGAGGCCAGAACCGTGCTGTGAGCCACCCAGTGGGGCAAGGTTAGCAGAGGAAAGCTGTGCAAATATCAGCCTGTTGCACCGTCCTAACAGACCTCCGCACTTGGTCTTCTAAACCCCCAAGGATTCTACAGGAAAGATGATCAGGAAGGTTCCGGAAGGAGCCCATGAACCAGATCCTGAAGAACTCGTGATGGGCGAGACAAGATGGGGAATGTCAGTGCTCCCCGAAGGAGCTACAGGCTGCTGCACACACAGGGACCCATGAAAGCTCACGCTGTGTCAGAACTCTGCAATTTCATGCAGCTAAAACACAAATCGGGGGCAGACAGAAGACAAGCGAGGCCCACTGACGGAGACAGGATCCACGAGCAGTTGCTGCCTTACAGAAGGGGGAAGCCACTGGAAAGGTCCTCCCCGGAGTCCTGGTGGGATGGGTTTGCACTCTGGAAAGATCTGTGACTTGGGACTCTGCAAAGCGCGGTCACTCGGCCCGCCTGCCGCGCGGCCCCGCCCCCCTCGGAGCGCCCGGGTGGGCTGAGTCCAGCCGCATTCTGCGGCAGGAGCCCCGGCACTCGCTGGTCCCCGCAGGCGGCCTCCCTGCGCGCCATCGCAGCATCCCTCCCGGACCCGGGCCTCCTCCCTAGGAGCCTGTGCTCCGACCCTAGGCCGCCGTGCGTTTAAGTGACAGGTTCAGGGAAGAGGCGCCGGCCGCTCGGCCCGGGAACGCCAGCAGACGGGCGAGCCGGGTAAGCCGGGCCGTGGGCGGGAGGGCGCCGCATCTCACCGGTAAAAGGCAGAGTCCCCAAGCGGGTTCCAGTTCGCCGTGTAGCAGTCCATAGCTGGTGCGGGTGGCGGCCAAGCGGTGCAGAGAAGGCCACCTCCACAGGCTGCGGGACTCAGCTTGGCACTTCCGCTTCCGCCCGTCCGCATCACGTGCCGACGCCGCCTGAGCGGCCATCATTACTCTGGGCAGCCGCATTTGCCTCCCTTTCCCAGGTGGGCTCGTCCCAGAGTCCTTCCCCAACGCAATAGCCACCCTCTCTGCCTGCCCTTCTTGGGGCGTTGGGGGTCGCGCAGGACAGGACATGGGTGACCGGAAGTGAGAGCCGTGAGCGGCGCCGTCGGGTCCACTCGCGACGCACGCATGGAGCGCGCCGGGTCCCAGGCTGCGCTCCGACGGCTAAGCGGGACGCACGGGCTCTGCGGGGCGGAGGCTTTGCAGAACCGACTGGCCTCCCGACAGGGTGCGGGAGCATGAGGCCGGGCCGCCCTGCTGGCGCCTGAACTGCGCAGAGCCCCGAGACGCGGTAATGGGACCCTGCGAGCGGGCGCATGCGCGGGGCGGCGGGCACGTGGCGGGGCGCAGGGCGGCGCCGCGCGGGAAGCGCCTCGGTGTCCCCGGAGGCCTCGGGCCCGCTGCCCTCCTCCCGCCAGCTCCGGTGCCAGCGTCCGCATGGCCCCCTTGTGCCGCCGACTCTGCCCCGTGACCCTGAACAGCCCAGGAACGACTGGCACGGGTCCGGTTTCGGTGGAGGTTGGCCATGGCGCCGTACCGCCCGGAGTCCCTGCCATGGCGCAGCTTAATGGCCTTTCCCCATAGCCCGTCTTCGTCGTCGTCCTCGCTGGCAGCATGGTCTTCTGTCTGGAGAGGGAGGAGGCGCGCCGCCCTTCGCAAAGTGCCATGGTCCACTTCCAGGCATCGGAAGTCCAACAGCTGCTGCACAACAAGTTCGTGGTCATCTTGGGGGACTCCAGTGAGTGTCCCTCTGCCCCAGCATGACGCCTCCTGGTCCACACACCCATGTTCCTGTGTTCCGACTGCTGCCTTCTGTTTCAGACTGCTTCCCACCCTCTGAGTTGCTTTAATCTGGCTGATTTTCCCTTTAAATTTCCCTACCTGCCTTACATCGGCCACCCTCCCTCCCCTGTAATTCACCTCATGGAAACAGTGGGTTGTGTTTTGGGTTTCCCTGGTGGGTTGGCCAGCTTTTGCCAAATGATCTTGATTTTACTGAGTATATTCAAGTCAACTAAGAGAGGGGCATACTAGATGTAACAGAGGTAGCCCCTGGGCGTTTATTTTTTTATTTTTGTGGAGAAAGAGGAGTAGATCATCCATCCACTGGTTCACTCTCCCAGTGGCCTCAGTGGCTGGGGCTAAGCCAGGCTGAAGCCAGGAGCCAGGACCTCCATCTTGCTCTCCCATGGGGTTGATGGGAACCCAAGCACTTGGGCCATCCTGGGCTGTCTGCTAGGTGCATTATCAGAAAACTGGGTCAGGTGCACCAGCAGGTGCCTCCCAGGCACTTAAAGGAGAAGTGATCCCAGTGTTAGCTTCACATGCTGGGTCCCAGTGCCCGCTCAGCTCCAGGGCTTGTTGCCCTCATCCTCTCTCCTGCCTGAAAGTCAGAGCTGTGCAGAGCTGGTGCAGGGCAGGGGGCCTGGACGGGTGAGGAGCTGGGGTGAGGGGAGGTGTCTTCAACCTAGGGGGGGGGGGTCCCCGTCTCCCCACAGTCCAGCGGGCTGTGTACAAGGACCTGGTGCTTCTGCTCCAGAGAGACTCCCTGCTCACAGCTGCCCAGCTGAAAGCCAAGGTGAGAGACAATGAGCAATGAGGCCCATGGTGGGCGGGCACAGACCCCAGCCTGGCAGGGTCTTCACCCCCCACCCGCCAGCCTGGGTCTGACGGGGTCGGGGGGCAGGGGGAGCTGAGCTTTGAACAGGACCAGCTGGTGGCCGGGGGCCAGCTGGGCGAGCTGCATAACGGGACACAGTACCGCGAGGTCCGCCAGTTCTGCTCGGGCTCCGGCCACCACCTTGTACGCTTCTACTTCCTCACCCGCGTTTACTCCGAGTACCTGGAGGACATCCTAGAGGAGCTGACATATGGGCCCACCCCAGACCTGGTCATCATCAACTCCTGCCTCTGGGATCTCTCCAGGTTGGGGGTGGGGACAGGAAGATGCTGGCTAAGGCAGGGTGGGGGTGGAATGGCCTAGAGGCCATGCGCCCCGTGTCCTTGCCCACCCTGTTCCTTCTCGGACAGATATGGCCGCTGTTCCATGGAGAGCTATCGGGAGAATCTGGAGCGAGTGTTTGTGCGGTTGGACCAGGTGTTGCCGGATTCCTGCCTGCTGGTGTGGAATATGGCAATGCCCCTAGGAAAGCGCATCACTGGGGGTTTCCTCCTGCCAGAGGCAAGTGCCTGGGGCCCCTCAGGCTGGGCAGTGGGTGCAGCTAGCTGGAATATAGGAGACTCCCCTTGCCTGATCTTCATTCTATGGCTCTATTATTTATTTATTTATTTATCAAGAAAGCAGATTTACCGAGAGGAGGCGATACAAAGAGAAAGATTTTCTGTCCACTAGTTCATGCCCTAAGTGTCTGCAATGGCTGAAACTAAACTGGTCCAAAGCCAGGAGCGCAGAGCTTCTTCCAGGTCTCCCATGTGGGTGCAGGGTCCCAAGGCCTTGAGCCATTCTCTACTGCTTTCCCAGGCCACAGCAGGGAGCTGGATGGGAAGTGGAACAGCCGGAACACAAACCGGTACCCATATGGGATCCCGAGTATGCAAGGGAAGGATTTAGCCACTGAGCGGTGGCACCAGACCCTGTCCTTTTTCACTTAGCTCCAGCCCCTTGCGGGCACTCTGCGGCGGGACGTGGTTGAAGGGAACTTCTACAGCGCCACCCTGGCTGGGGACCACTGCTTCGATGTCCTGGACCTCCACTTTCACTTCCGACATGCAGTACGACACAGGCATCGAGACGGTGTCCACTGGGACCAGCATGCACACCGCCACCTCTCACACCTGCTGCTGAACCATGTGGCAGATGCTTGGGGCGTGGAGTTGCCGAAGCGGGGCAGTCCCCGTGGTGAGCCCTGCCCCATGGGGGAAGGGTGGCTGTGCTCCCAGGGCTCCTGCAGTGTCACAAGGCAGAGTTGGGATCCCTTCAAGAGCTGTGAGGACTTCTGAGTGCTCCCCCTGCACTCCCTGAAGATGGTTAGGTCACAGGAGTGATATTTTAGTCCAGTTCTCTGCGACCTGGCCATTTAGTCTGCTTTGTATACATAAGCAAGCACATCTAGTGGCTCCAAAGGTGAATGGAAAATTGGGGTGCTCCTGATTAGGAATAGAGATGTGTAAGTGGACAGAGGGAGACCCAGGCATTTTAGCAGAAGCAAAGAAGCCCATCAGCTGGGGGATTGGGGACGCATGGTTGACTGGAGGCCTGTTGAGCACAGAGATGTATCCTAGGGGTACTTAGAAGGTCAGTCTTCTGTGGGTGGGCCCAACAGACAACCTTCAAAAGTCACCTCAGTTCAAGTCTCAGAATCCCGGGGTCACCGGTCAGCACAGGTACAGCTCCCCTTGGCCCCATCTCGTAAGTCAATGATTACAGCCTCCTACTTGTTTGGGGGCACTATTGCTTGTGACATCTGGTTCCCAGTCTGCCTCCCAGTCCGCCTCCCAGTCCCTGCATGCCCCCAGAGGGGCCATGGTGGCCAATGGTTCCCCTGTCAGCTGCTCCCCTGGGCAAGTTCCCTTCCTTGTTTCCAGATCAGCCCTTGTGACCCTGGTGGCTGGCATTGCTACTGCATGCACAGTGCCTACAGGGAACACAAGTGACACAGAGGAGCAGGAATCTCACTGAGGCAGAGCTCGAGGACTTGGTGACCAGGAATTGGTGAATCAGGATTTTGATCCAGTAGTGCTCTACTTTCCTTATTCCTTAGATGAGAAAATCGATCTCCAGCTAAGAAAGGGGTTGCTGAAGGTTGGAAGGCTGATTTGTGGTAGCCTAGGCCCTCTAAGTGCAGCCGGAGCCACAGAAATTGGGGACGAGAAAAGAAAGGGTGGATTTGGTGTGCAAAGATAACTTGGTGAGGTTGGTCAGAGCAGATCTTTGAAAGTCAGTGGCACCCAAGAGACGAAGCCCAAGAGTGTTGGTGTAGATAAGGCTGGAGAGAGCAGAACAGTGCTCACATTGTGGATTGGAAGGAAGAGCTACTGACGGCACAGGGAGAAGGGAGAGGCCCTTCAAGAAGGCAAGGCCGTGGGCCATCTCAGGGTACTTGGGAGGAAAGAGGTTTATGGAAGTGCTCAGGGAGCGGTAACAGTAGGAAAAGTGTTGAGGACACGGGATTAGGGTCAAAGAGGCAGTGAGCAACTAGTGAGGGAATGGGAGAACTGGGCAAAAGCTTCCTTGTGAGGCGAGGACGGAAAAGGACACTAGTGGGAGAAGGAAGGGGCGGGGTCTTTATGTCCAGCTGAGCAGATGAAGGCAGAAAGCTCTGGAAGGGAGGATGAGGTCAGCACAGGGGGAGATCTGAGAGGCAAGAGGGAAGCAGCCCTCCTTGGGCGTGGCATGAGTGAGAAGGAACGATGAGCTGGGGAGATGGTGCTGGGTACTCCGGCCTCTTGGCCCAGTTCTCTGAGATGCAGGAGTGAACTGCGCAAGTGTGAATGGTCAGAGTTCAGGGCAGCCTGGCTGCCCAGACCTACCTGAAACACCCATCCCGTTCCTAGACCCGTGGATTGAGGACTGGCCCAAGACGAATCATCCGTTCCAGGGGAGCCATAAGCACCCCCCAGCCTTCGGGGAGCAGCTGGCCTGGCCCCTACCCCTGCCCTCTCCTTTTCCTCCCCCCATATCTTTCCGATACTCCCTCCCTCAACCCTCGCCACCTCCCCTGTTCCCCCCCCTGCCCCAGGATGCCCCCCCTTTCCCAGGCCAGACCTTCCCACCCCATGAATTCTTCAATTTTAAACCAATGGAGGACTTCTCGATGCCACCCCACTTCGGTAGGTGTCTCTGCAGCTACCCGCACACCTCTCCCAGCCTCCCCTACACCTTCCTCAGCCCAACCTCCTTCCCAGACAAATGGAGAAGAGTTGGATAACCCTTTGTGCCCCAAGATGTGTTTGGTCACAGCAGTCCCCAATGTGGTATGGCACGTGTAGACTGATCAGTCAGGTTATGCTCATTAGTCTCCCAGTCTGCACGATGGGAAAGAGGTAACCCTTACTTCACAGA